AAAATAAATAAATAAATCATAATTAATAGAAGTTAGAAGCCAATATATAAGATGGAGACCCAACTTGGGAAGAGATCTGGGGAGTTATATCTGTCAACATTTTATACAAAAAAAAAGAGAGAGAGAGAGAGAGGATCTATTTGTGTTTTCTCAATACTTCTAGTCTCCTATCAAGGGCCTTTGTCTGAATCAACCTTCTCAGTTAAAACACACATTGCGGAGTGCTTACCAATATGACCGTATGCACTACTTAAGTCACAATTTGGCTGGATTCACACATGTTAAATCTTAATTACATTATGGATTAGGATGGTGTGTGAACCCAGCCATATTACCTGATATAATAACAACAAATTAAATTTGTATGCCACCCGCCTCCCAGTGATTCTGGGCGATTTGTGTCCTCTTGCTCTTTAGTCTTCCTCTGTCATAACTAATATCTAGAACTCACACAGATCACAGACTTCAGGTTTTCTTGATGCTGGGTTGGAATTACTTTGATGCTGAGCTCTCATATTTTGAAGTGGTATTTTGAGCTGCATGCCAGAATTCTTTGCCTTTGCCCGCAAGCGCCATTTGCTTACCAACCACACTCTAGTCACTGCGATAGCTGCAGAAAAATCTGGTCTTTGTTCATGTAAACAAGATCACAACTTTGATCCTGTTTCTATCACCCTCATCACCGTCATCATTCAAATGCTACTAGGGTTGAGGAACAAAAGCTTACTCTGCAAGCTTCCTTGATATAAAAAGACATTTAAATCATTAGGTGCAAATCCAGACTGGACCCACAGGTTAATGCTTCAGACAAACCTTTGAGAAAAATGGAGGAAAATCTCAGTCCCTAAAGCATAAGCTGTGGTTAAAAAAAGAGGTCAGCCTCTAGCATCTTGGAGATGCAGCCTTGGTCTTTCTTTCCACATCAGCCACAAGAGTGGGAAGGAAAACAATTCCTCATACCTGTTGCAAATTCCTTGCTTGACATTTTCTGGGCAAGTCCCACAGCCATGGGTCTGAAGGGCAAGTTACTTAATCCTGCCTGTCTGAGACTCCTTTTCCTGGGGTGGATGGAAGGCATGAGGAAAAGGCCTGGGAAGGACCCATTGCTTCTCTGCATGGGTCCTCCTGCAAAGCAAGCCCAACAGGATTCTTTGAACCGGAGTCATCTGCATGCACAGCAGGGGCCTGTGGGTGGCCAAGCCTGAAGAACAAGGTCCCGGCTCAGCATTAGCTTCTGTCTTGAGGCAGGAGGCCTTGCTGAGAGGTGTGTGTGGAACCCCTGATGCATCTACTCTGACCTCAACCTTCCCTTCCGCCATCTTCCCACCAAGCCGTACTGACTCCAACTACTCCTTCAAACTGACTTCACTCTTCTTCGGCAGTGGGGGCTACATGCTGTGCTTGGTCCAGGCCTGTCCACAGCAGGAGAAGGACAGCAGCTTGGTCCTGCCTGTGGTTTCTGATGTAATGTTCTTAAGAGTCAGCTAATAAAATTGATAATTACTAGCTTGGTCACACCTTGAGCTAAACAATCTTGTGGTTTGCTGGTTTGGGTTTAACATGTTGTATGGACTCAGAGGCAATAAAGGGAGGATTCTGTGCTTACTACCATCCAGATTGCCACATCTGCATTAAGGCCCTCCTTGAGATGCCCAGAGATCCTTGAGATGCACAGAGCACCCCAACCTCAAGGCACAGATGACCCTCTTCCAAAGCTTTGAGTAGGGTCCACAGAGTGCCTTCAAAAACTGACTGAAATTGCCATTATTTTTACAGAAAAGGCTAAGTAAAGCTAGAGGGGAAAATAACAATTAGATTTAGTTTATAGCAACATTTAAAGGAAAACATTTAGCTCGAGGCTACCTACATCCTCTTATTTGTCCTAGTCTTGCCTACTCTTTTTCTCAGCTGCAGGCAGGGAAATGTTTCTCCTGGGTGTAGTACAGATCTTGAACTATACCCTCCTTCCCTCATCTGTGTCCTCCAGATGTATTTCAGATCACTGTGATGGTTGGGAATTCTGGGAAATGAACACATTGATTAAGGACATCCAGTTGGGGAAGGCTTCTCTATGCCTTCCCCCCAAAGCATCCTTTTGAGTCCAAACCGGGCAAATGAGTTTTATGAGATGAACTGAAAGGCCATAAAACACATGCCACTACTCTTAATTTCAAATGTGGGGAGGGAGCTTTTCCAGCATTGTTTGCATCTTTGATCCAATTGTTTAAGGGTGGGTGCCCAGTAAGCCATCCCAAACCATGCCAACTGCGGTCATCTATTTCTTCCTCTCAGGCTCCATCTTTAGAGGTTGACCATGCAAGACTAAAATGTTTTTGTGAGATATGGAGAGGAAGGGTTCTTCAAAGCTCACTTTTTAAAACCTAGAGTTGGTCTAGTAAGAGTATTGTCCTAATACCTTCTTGCTGCCCCTTACATTCAATAGTTATAATTTCTGATTGAAGCAGCATCGATGTCAGGATAGTTAAACAAAGTTTAACCGATAGCTGGAAATGCAGCTCCTGCCAGGCCGGACCCTCAAGAGGTGCTCCCTGAGCAAATAGGTATTGCTGGAGAGGTTTTTTCAGGTCAGCAGTCATAACCCATCACAGTGGTTTGCAAAACACATTGATCCATGGTTAACTTGGATTAATGGCATTCACCTACTTTTGGGGGGTTGATACAACATACTGAACCATAATCACATGGACCGGGTTCCCATTAATACACAGGCTAAAATGTGGTTGGCAAGTTTCTGGTTCAGTGAACTGCCCAAATGTAATCACTGATTGGACAAGACCGGTATTGCTGTCACATTACTGGCAGTGTTGCAAGTTTCCATCTCCTTCCTAAGAACTGCCTAAGAGCTTTTCTCCTGCCGCCCCCATTGTCCTGTGTCACAAATAGCATGTGGTTACCAACCTCACCCTACTCCGCTTACTTCTGAACTACTCCAGTGTTGGAAGCAGCTGCATCCTCTTCTGATGCCTCCTGGTATTTCAAAAGGAGTGTCAAGAGGAACATACGTTGAAGGGTCTCCCCCCTCCCACCAAACAGGATCCTGCTAGCCAAGTTGCAGTGCAAACCCTTCCCACGTGGTAGAGAGTACCGGACTCAGGAAAGTGAGCTAGGATACTGTACTAGCAACATCTATACTGCTAAGAGTATACAGAACTCATGGGGACCTCGTATTTTAAAGCAGAGAAAAGCATAGATAGGAGGAAAAGAAACAGGATAAACTAACTTATCGAGTATTTTACATCTTAAATAGTACCATCAGATCTACAACATGTAGCAAGATAAAAACGTCCCAAACCTGAGTGAAGGAACTGTGCCATCCGGGTATTGTTTTCATTGCTTTCCTATTTACCAAGCTTCATGCAAATAATTTAAGAAGTAACTAGCAGTCAGATAGATGATTCCTGCCCACTTCCTCTTATGTTGGTTTTCGGCTTGTAGTTGTTTACAGGGAAGCACTTCCCTCGGCACGGCAGCCGAGACAGACGGAAATGGCATTTCATTCCATCACCTTGGCCTTCCTGGATTCCTTTCTGATGTATGGACGAGCCCAATATGCATCCTTAGCATGTTAACCTCCACCTGTCTGCGTGTGGTGTCCTCAAAATATACTGGAGTACAACTCCTATCATTCTCCCACCAATATAACTGCATTTATGTTTGGAAGCCAAAATAGTCAAAGCCACTTTTCATTGACCAAAATTGCTCCTGATTCACTGGAAAACAGCAGGGTCAGCTTTGAACCACTTGCCCTGACCCACCTGAGCTCTTTTCACTTTGTTTCAGCAGTCCCAGTGCTAATAAAAAGCCAGCAGAAAATGGCTTAAAGCCTACCATGTTGTCATTATGATGTCTAACATTTTCTGGAAAAGTGGACTGTGACTAGCAGACCGGGCTTCTCCAACTCTGGACTGCTTAGCAGTTGCATAGATGTAGCACCCTAACATCTGTAAGCACAAGCTAGTTAGCAAGCAGAGTGAGAGGCGATTGGTATTAGCAGACTGCTGATTAGTAGATTGACTGCTACTTGTTAGCAGTCTCCAGTTGAACACACACACATGGAAAAGGGATGCCAATCCCTGGCTTCCACATGTCAGTCAAAAACCTGTTCTCCCCAAGAGGTTGGAGCACAGCAGGTCTAAGAGCTGGTTGCAGAAACCTTCGGGGTCTCACCAAGGGACAAGCAACAGCCTGTAAGGTGACAAGAGGAATGAGGCCCAGATGTAAAGGACAGATCAACCAGAGACAAGATAGATTTGTCCATCTCTGTACAAACTGAAATCCTGCATGCAAAGATGGCTTTCAGGATCCGCCTTCAAGCGGAGTCAATCATGCTGCTTAGGATCTCAATTTGTTGCTTTTCAAGGTGGCGGTCCTTATGGCACTAGTGGTTAGACACTCCTGTATTTTCTAATACCCCCCCCCCATTACATTCCTGCCCTTCCCACCCTCTTTTGCAAAGGAACAAGGACTAATGGTACTGAGCATAGATATCCTTAATTTAATGCATCTCAAACCTATCTGATTTGCTCTACTAGATCAAAGTCGTATGTACATGATTTTCTTCTGCTGCTACGAACCTCAGAGAATGTGTGTTTTTGATCAAGGGACCTTCATTACTGACGGGCAGTCCTTGGGTGGAGTATAGGACCCTGCTGGACAGACAGCCACGTGGGATTTCATTTTCAGCAGGTAAACAATGGCCTCCCTTTTCCTACCTGGGTGACTCAAGGAGCTGTCCATCAAGGACCCTTAGAAAAGTAACGTAGAGTTTGTTCTAGTAACCTCTTATCGGCAACACAATAGTTTTCCAGGAAGCAGAGAACTCAGTAGACCAAGTGCTTGTTTGGTTCTTGTGGACTGCAAGAGCATCCGCCCCATCTTTTCCAACTTCAGTTCCTCCCCCCCCCATGCAGAGACATTCATCACCCGCCGCACAAAGAAGAAGTGAAGGAGGAAAAAAAATGAGAAAAAAAGAGCGTGCAGGAGGTCAACTCTGCCTATATTTTTATTTCAGGCACCAAATACCACTTTTAGACCAGCCATCCGTGGAGTCTCCAGGATCCATCTTCTAAAGCAGCAGACTACTCCCCTCCCCACTTTTCAAAGATGCCTCTTTGAAGCGTCAGAGAGCAACAAATGGGGGGCAGGAATGTCAGCATATCTCCTGTCCCTCCAGGAATTTGGGACTCAGCATGAAGACGCGAGAGAAGCTGAGCATGTGGCTTCTTTACGTCTAAGTGTAAAGAAACACTTGTTCAGACCAAGGCTTAGACAGTAAAATGGCCACAATAGGTAGATTATAACTACACCTGTAGTGAGGAAGACACCACACCTGGAAAAGGTAAGGTTACCAGAAATACTTCCTTCCTTGGCTTTTTTGTTTTAGACTTTCAAACCAGCCCATCAACAGTCCAGGACCCAGCAGAAGCTCCCCTGTTTGAACCAGCCCTTAGAATGGGAGTCAAAGTCTATTTTGGCACCCCACCACGTTAGCTGCAGCCTCCATCGCTTTATTTTCTGTCCAGAGTCCATTTGGTTCCCAGTCTCTTTTCCTCTCGGCGTTACCCTAAGGCCAGACCTGCTCAGGGGGAAGTCCTGACACTGACCGGAGAGTGGTGCCCCCTCTCCCTCTGCTGCTAGGCACAGGGAGAATCGAAAAGGCAGCAGCAGGAGGGACCAAGGAAGGCCAACGAAGCACAGCGACAAGAGCAGGGAGACCAGACCGCTGGGCCAACCCATTGGCAACAGTGGGAGGAGTGATACCTGCTGGGCGGTCAAGAGCCACGCTCGAACAAAGAGGTGGGTGGGAAGAGAAGGAGAGGCTATTGCACCGAGTGAAAAAGGGACAGCCTCTTACAGACAAGAGGGGGGACTTTTCTTTGGAGGAAGGCAGAATGATTTCAACGGCTGCAGGTTTAAGACCTGCTTTGCTGAAATCTTTTCCCTTAGGGCAGGGAAGGCGGCTGAAAGAGCAAAAAAACAGTGGTGTCCTATCAACTCCTCTTCTCCTTGCCCCCAAATTATAGGATCCCCCCAGCCTCCAGGGTGAGGGAAACCAGCAGGCCCTACAGTGGCATTTTCCTTCTACTGAAGCAGCTACGCTCCCTCCACACCCCTAAACCCAACGTCAGTCCCCACCCCGCAGGCAAACTCTACCCCTCCGATCCAAAGGGGGGAGGGCTCTCTGAGGACCAGATCAATTATTTCTTTTAATAATGAAAAACGGCAGATGAAGGGGAAGCCCAGCATGCCCCAGTCTGTGAGTGTTTCAGCTCCTTGTTGAAGAGGTCCTGTCCCTCTCTTGCACCTGTCTGTTTCTCAGCGCACCAGAGGGGAGAGCCTTCTGCGGAGAGCCAAAAGTGGGGAGCAAAAGGGCAGCTGAAGGAGCCTTGATCAGCAGCAGTGGAGGAGGAGGGGAGGGGTCCCAAGTAGTATCATCCTTCCTGCCAAAACATGCACCGAAGGGGTGTCAGGCGAGCACAAGAGCCAGAACCAGTTATCAACTCTTGTCAGAACCACTGTCTCTGTGCAGGGCGCCTTTCTTCATGCTTTCCAAGTACTCCTGTTGCGAAACGGCCAACACCGAGGCCAGGATCTCATCATCATCCCAATCGCTCAGACCTGGTCAAAGACAGACAAAGGAGCACAGTGGTCAGTGGGTGGGGGGCTCTTTAGAGTAGAGCTGGGGGAACCTTGTCTATTAGATAAGCTTGGCTCTGCCTCTACCAGCACAGTCAATGCTCAACGATGGGAGCTGTAGTTCCCCCAACCCTGCTTTATACTGCCCCATCACCTGTTCTCTTGAGTCCTCCTGGCCACCATCCTCTTTCACAAACATAGTTACTTTATTTCCCCCACCACAAGTCCATCTCCACCAGTCTACATAATGCCTGATGCTCTGAACAGGACTGTAGAGAGCTTCCGTGTTAACTACCTGCAGCTTTCCCAGATTCATTTCTACAGAGTCCAGAGCCCCTGTCCTACTGAATGTGGGCAAGATCCCCCCCCATTTCTTTTTAATTGGATGAGTCCTAAAATAAGTGTGTTACACTATTGGTAATTATAATGCACTTATTTTGAATATATTGTTCCTTTCCTATAGCAAAAAACAAGCAAACAAACAAATGATCAGCATCACTCTAGGAATAAATAAATATTGAGAATTAGCTGCACCAGAAACTTCCATGGCCACAATTATTACACAACGTGTCATCTACTGCAAAATCCAGCTGTTCGTATAAAACTTGGAGAAGCGCAGCTTAAAATTTTAACATCCAGTCCATATGATTAAGGATCAAAAGTTGGAAGCATTTTAACAGGTGAGATTCTGTACTGGGAAAGTGGAGAGACTCTGGCTGTAGCACTGGCATGTCTTGCAACGCTGGAAGGCATTGCTTTTTAAAGGGACGAAAGCTGAAACCCAGGTAATCTGAGATTCCAATCATGCCGGCAGGGCAAAATGAGGGCACCTACCGAACGCTGTGGGTGACATCTGTTGCATTATTGCCCGGCACTCCAGGGCTGGATACAACGACACTAAGGGAGGGGTTACTCGGCCACCGCCTGCAGACAGCTGGCTGCTTGTACCTGTGATGGGTGGAAGTTGCAGATGAAAACTTTGCACTGCAGGATTCAGAACTGAGTGACTCACTGCAGATGATTATCTGAAGATTTGGAAGTTTATATAAGCACAGCTTCCTTTAAAAGAATGCCAACAATTGTTTTCTGGAGCACACTGAAAAGTTACACCTGCAAGATCTACATTTCTTGTAAATGCAGAATGTCTTTCACAACTTTGCAAGACAGGAATCAGCATAGGTAGAAGGATTCACGTTTACTGAGACAAGACTAGATTCCTGAGAATGTCAACTTTTCTTTTTTTAAAAAACTAATCCTAATGCAATGCCCAAAGTTTAGAAAACGGCATGGATTCTGCCATAGCATAACTTACGACAAGTTTGACATCCATTTACTCTCTGCAATAAAATGATTCAAGGTGTCACTTAAACTTGGGGGGGGGGGTTGCACTGGTTCATTTTGCCACCCCTAGGCCAGAGAACAGAGATGAAATTATGACTAGGGCCTCCCTTCGCAATAACGGTGCCTCAGCAAAACACGGCTATGGAGATCTGCCTGAAAAAAAGCCCCCCACTTTCTAACTGCAAGATGTTATGGTTTTCTTGTCTCTGGGCTGTTTTGCTCTTCTGAATTACCTTCTTGTAAGGATCTTAGTTTCTAACCCTGCAAAGCTAAATCTTGCATTAAAATCATATGTATTTAAGAACTAGATATTTTGCCTGAAACTTTTGTTCATGTAGGATTTTAACACCCTATTTTATTTTTTAATACAGTGTAGGTTGGCAATTTCCGAATGTATGTAAAATCAATTCTCTCATCTTCACTCGTTCTGCTCCAATCTGATTGCTATCTATATATTCTTCTCCAACCTGCGTCATCAGAATTTGAAACTGGTAGCAAGGATGCAGCCATGAAGGGAGCAAGCAAGGTCCACAGTGCTCTTCCACTCTCCCTTTGGACCTTCAAAAGGAAGGTCCAGCCTCTGTAGTTTAAGACATGTTATAGTCTAATTGTTCAATATATAACATCTGTATTAGGGCTACATAAAGCATCTGTAGGTATGGCTTTAATGCTATTGCACAAGTAACTTTGTTCCTGGATGAAAACCCAGGGCAATGTAGGCAGGAAATTGACATATTGCATAACCACGCCTGCCTTATGCCTAACAATTAAAACACAGAAGCCTGCCCACCCCCACCCCCCAGATCTTGCAGGTGTTTTGTTATACTGAAATGATGCGCTGGCAAGCCAACTTGTTCAACGTGTATCTCGAGGAAAAGTCAACTTCTCAATTTGTTAGCAATCTTTTTGCGTAATGGTCCAGGTGCCTCCTCCCATATAAATTAAGTGTTCACAAGCTCATGGTGTTAAAAATATGGGGATCTTGCATTACAAGAGAACGCTATTTAATGTTGGGAGACCACAGGCCCCGTCTAAGGATGTTGCAGGAATCACGCTGCCCTAGGATATACAGTCAGGTCCAGAAATATTGAGACATCGACACAATTCTAACATCTTTGGCTCTATACACCACCACAATGGATTTGGAATGAAACAAACACAATGTGCGTTAACTGCAGACTGTCAGCTTTAATTTGAGGGTATGCCCTCAGTACCCCAATTACAATGTGCAGATAACATCTAAAAAAGCCTTCACAGTTCTGGAACAACATCCTATGGACAGACCCTCAGTACCCCAATTACAATGTGCAGATAACATCTAAAAAAGCCTTCACAGTTCTGGAACAACATCCTATGGACAGACCCTCAGTACCCCAATTACAATGTGCAGATAACATCTAAAAAAGCCTTCACAGTTCTGGAACAACATCCTATGGACAGACCCTCAGTACCCCAATTACAATGTGCAGATAACATCTAAAAAAGCCTTCACAGTTCTGGAACAACATCCTATGGACAGACCCTCAGTACCCCAATTACAATGTGCAGATAACATCTAAAAAAGCCTTCACAGTTCTGGAACAACATCCTATGGACAGACCCTCAGTACCCCAATTACAATGTGCAGATAACATCTAAAAAAGCCTTCACAGTTCTGGAACAACATCCTATGGACAGACCCTCAGTACCCCAATTACAATGTGCAGATAACATCTAAAAAAGCCTTCACAGTTCTGGAACAACATCCTATGGACAGACCCTCAGTACCCCAATTACAATGTGCAGATAACATCTAAAAAAGCCTTCACAGTTCTGGAACAACATCCTATGGACAGACCCTCAGTACCCCAATTACAATGTGCAGATAACATACCCTCAAATTAAAGCTGACAGTCTGCAGTTAACGCACATTGTGTTTGTTTCATTCCAAATCCATTGTGGTGGTGTATAGAGCCAAAGATGTTAGAATTGTGTCGATGCCCCAATATTTCTGGACCTGACTGTAATCTCCCAGACTCAACAAATGCCCACCTCCCACCCTAATCCATCAGGCACTCACCTGGAGCACACGGCGAGGGGGGTTTGGTAAGTGCTAGGGCCGCAGTGCTTCCAGGAGAAGGGGGTTTGGCAGCATTCAGCTCATTGTGCAGGTCGGGGTGCTCCGGGGAAGAAGCTGAGCTGCGCTGACGTGGGGAGCGGCCACTCCATTCTTCCAAGCCGCTTGCTGCAGCCGCCGTGGCAGAGCTGCAAGTAGCACTGGCTTTGCGGGGCTGAGGGAAGAAGAGCAGGGGCACCAGTCAGGGCTATGGGATATTTGGTTTCAGTTCCCAAGGACCAGTTACTCCTACTGGAGGAGGGACGAGGCCCATGCCACTGATCCTGCAGGGATCCCTGAGGTATCCCGCCAGCTCTCATTCGCCTCCTGTGCAAAGAAAGAGAGCCAAACCTGTCTGGCCTGCTTTTCTTGGTCACGCAGCCACTGCAAGTAAGACTCCCGGGCAACCTGTTCTTCGATGGCCTCATTGGTGGCTTCCCAGTCGGTTGCTCGCTTCTTATCCTCCAGCATCTGCTGCTCGATCCAGGACTCCTCCGAGGTCTTGATGGCATTCTTCATCAAGGACTGCTCTGCATACTGCAAAGAAAAAAGGAGATTTAGCAAGCTCACCACAGTCCCAAGCCTTTTTTCTTAGAGAAGCTGCAAAATGTGAACGTCCCTCCAAATGCAAGCACTGGAAAGTAGAAGATGGGGCAGAACGGGAAGCATTTGCCCCGTGGTCACCTAGGGAGAGCAGATAACAGACAGGTGCTCAGTTTCTTCCTGGCACGGGGAAGGAATGGATTAAATCATCATAAACAATATGGGAACATTCTTGGACAATGATTGTTTTGCCAGATCTAGGGAGGAAACCAATGATAGTCTCCTAGTGGCTCAAGGGACAGGCTAGAGCTTCTCTTGCCTCTTCAAGCTTGGCTTAGATGCAGCTGGGAGGATGTGCTAGAGCTGCTTGTCCAGGTGGTTACTTGAGAAGTGTCATCAAGAAATATCAGTATGACCAGCAGGCCATTTCCCAGTATTTTGGATAAATTCACGTGTCCCTGCAGGGTGTGGGACAGTAATCCTATTCACTGCAGGTTAAAAAGAGCTATCCATTTAAGGGTGTCTTTCTGAAGACAGAAAAAGTGGGATATTAAGTTTGATCAAATGTGACAAACCTCTGTTGGAGCAACTGTTTTATTCTTTTGGAAAAAGAGGTGCATACGTGACAGCTCTCCAAAGTCTTGGGTGCAGCCCCCCCAAGCATCCTACACCCCAAATATTACCATCAAAATATATTTTTTCATGAGACAGAAAGGGAAAACAGTAACATTATGATTACAAGGAAAATAATTGTATGATTGTCATAGTTAAGTACTTGAATTAAGTTGACATTCAATCAAAATAGAGTTTGCCCAAGGCCCAGCCATTACTTTATCTTAGCCACACCCATTTTTGGAGTGCAGCCCCAAAGGCCAAACACAGATCTTAAACCCAAAAAAGTTGTGTGTCCATTCTGGAAAGCTGTGCTACATCACAAAGCACACCGCTTTGCAAGTTCTGTTTCTCCCCACACCTCTTGACCCATGAAATGGTCCTTGCCCCAATCCTCCAAAGCCAGGCTGCGGCCAGGTTTCTGGCTATTATCCTGGAAGTACAGCTTGCGAGGAACCAGGGTGGAACAGGATATTGGCCACCAACCTTTTGCCCATCCTAGAAAGCCAACCCCCCTCAGATGTCGACCAGGAAAAACTCACCCCTGGCTTGAAGGAGGGCAGCCCTAGTCCCACCCCAATGGTAGCCTTGTTGGGGTTCACCACGGAGTTGTAATGTATGTTGCGGTGATAGCTCACCCGGATGGGTTCATCCTCATTCTGATGGATGCCATGGAAAGTATTGATGGGCTCTGGAAGGGAAAAATGGCAGGACAGGGTGATGGGTGACCGTGGCTCAACCATCCCTCCATGAACTCACTTTCTACTTCTGCAGGGCAGGCAGGGAAGCAACCACCCCCCTTGCCCCAGACGGATGTTCAGAAGAGTCAGGGACAGCAACTGAAGCAGGGGACAGGTGCCTATACCTGTGCCATACTGGTAAACCTCCACAGGTCGATTGTACATCTCTGCCATAGCTTGCATCTCAATATGGTTGCCATGACAATTGTTTTTCCGTTTGCGGTTAATGTAAGTGGTGAAATCTTCTGTCACATAATTGGAGAAGTAGTCAGCATTTTTCATCTGAAATGAGGGAGGGCCTCAGGATGAGAGGGAAGCAGACAAACACACAGGTGGGCACAAGAAGCAGAAGCAGGACACTAAGTTTCCAGGGAAGGGCTCTCAGCATAAACCTGCAACACACATCCAGCCAGTGAAAAAAGGACTCTCTTTGCTTCACTAGAGAAATGTTGGGAGAACAGGTGGTATCACTGGACTCAAGCAGTGGGAGTGATGTTTAAACAGGTCCATCTGTACAACTGAGTTAACCCAGATACATGGGAATTGTTCAGGAAAAAGCAGCTTCTCCTCCAGCACATCCAAGGTAATTTTGTGGAATCCCTTCCCTTTTGATAAGACTGTGCAAGGCCAGTGCTGCCTCAATCGCTTGCAAGCCATGCACAGATGGCTGCCTGAACCTCAACCTTTAGAAGCAGCTGGTTGATACAGAGATTTAGCCTTGACACCTTTTGATCCGTGCTAGTAAACTTGGGGGATGGGGGAGAGGAGAGATCAGGAATGCTTTGGGTTTGTTTTTAACAATGAAACAGGGCTATGCGTTGTAGACACAAATTAAAAAAAAAAAAAGGAGCCCAGAGTTATGACTGTAGCACCAGATACAGAGCTTCAGGTTTCAGGAAAATTCCTATGCAGGAAAGAGGCACTTTTTCCAGAGACAGCTGCCCAGGAGCCTAACCTGATCTGTTCTGGTTCTTGCCAGGATGCCTGACAGCTGCAATCCTAAATGTCAGACTCAGTGGTGGTGGTGGTGACCAGCCCTCCACCACACTCCCGCTCTCACTCACCAAGTAGTCCATGCAGTGCTTCCTGACCACTTCGTGCATGTCTTGGTCACCATATACCTGGTCAGCTGTGAAAAGAAAAGAGGAGAGTTCTGTCAGACACCGCACTTGGCTTCCTGAGAAAGGCACAGAAAAGCTAGGCACAGACCCTTTTTTTCTTTGCATCTAACAGGGATGACTAAGTGGCCCTAAGAGGGAGATGAGATACAGAGCCGCTCCATCAGCAATGCTTGAAGACCATTTTCCCAGCCTTTATCTTCTTCCTTACTCTGACCTCTTACTGGTTAAAGTGAGCATTACTATTTAATAATTAGTACCAAGGTTTGCTCCTCACCAGCCCATCCATTTCTGTTCCTTCTCCCCACTTCTTCCTTTTGGTGTCACATCTTCTAGACCACAAGTTTTCTGACTGTATGAAAGCTACTCAGAGGTCCTGAAGAATGGTCAATAAGAGTAAAACGTGTGGTCTTTTTGAATCTGCAGCCAAGACAGGCCTCAACCCCAAATCAATTTCTTGTTATTTCAACTGGGATGGAAATTCAGTTCCAGATTTTTCTGGTAAGCAAACCAATTAGATTTTTTAAAAAAATACAAGCTGTCTAGAAGTACAGCAAATCAAGTGAGGAAGAAATAAGAGATGGTGTAGGAGATGTTGGCGTCTCTCCTTCTCCTAACTTGAAATGCAAAGACAGCAGTCATCATTTGGCTTCTAAGACTCAACACTTTCTTGAAGGCCAATAGCACCAATCCCAGGCCTCACTTGAGGGATCTGATTGATCATGAATTCTGCAACTTCCATCAAGAAGATCAAATCCTCCCAGGACAGAAAAACATGGAATTATGGGATCATCTTTATAGTATGCAATTTTATTCCACAAGTACCATCCGCAACACACCTCTGTAATACACTTGGTCTAACCCACCATCAGTTAGATGACATTCCATCAGGAAAATCATTAATACTATGACCAGAAACTGAAAAAAAGAAACCCTTCTTCTAGTACTAAACTAGTTTTCCCCTTCTGTGGCACCTCCACCACTTACTGCTTGCAGTTCAAAAATAAGTCAAACAAAATCTTTCACTGAGTAATCTAGCAATCAAAACCTAGAGCCCTGGTTCCATTCTTCATCAACTAAACCACAATAAGGGAGCAAATGAAACAGTCATGAAACTGATAAGAGGTGCTGAAAAGGCAAGGCAAAGCAGCCTTCCCATCTTCAAATGGGAGTTTCTGCAGGCTAGAGGTAATTCCAGGGGCAAGTGAGGAAAAAGCCTATTGATGCAAACTTCTGGAAGGTCACAAAATGAGAGGCAGGCCAAGGAATATTTCTGGAAAGTGAATTACCTAGACAGCACCACAGCGTATCAAAGAAGCATTTACAGAGGAGTGCCAACTTTTCTTCCTATTTTGATTTGTTTATAAAGCTTCTACTTCCATATCCTCCTGCAACTGACATAGCAGAACTAGGATGCAATAAGCAGCGCTAGACCTGGATTCCTTGAAACCTGACCTCATTCAGACTGTTTGGAAAAAGAGATTCCAGGTTCTGTTCTTATCAAAGCACAAATGCAACTTAGAATGTTTCAAATATTTTTGTGAATCAGGAACAGTCAAATCCAAAGAAAAAGGGAAGTGGGCTCACGAGTAAAGAGAAATCCCTTGGGATTCCAACTAAACGCAGGGAAATCAGTGTGTGGGATTTCTTTGTTGAGCCACATGTACTTTTGGATCATACCCTACAATTGCTGGTGCAAATGGTGGCAATACGGTCTTATTCTTCAGTCGGTTGTGAGATGGGCTGAAGAGGAGAGAAGAGAGACTGTTGGGGCCTTAAAATAAAGCACTAATTTATTTTAATATTTTTGCAAAAGAAAAAAAAAGAAGAAGAAAAAATAATGTTGGGCTTGAAAATTTCTATGTCTTGAAGCCCAATTTCAGAGGGGCAATCTTGAAGCAGGGGCCTTCTGAAAACTGTAAAATGGGGTCTCCTGCACTACTTGCAGGGCACCCACTCAGTCTCTGCAGGGATGAAAGTTACTTTTCTGCACAGGGGACAGAAGGTACTATTAGGGAGGTATCCTCAACCACACGGGCACTACTTTGCCTCAGCCTTCTTCTGATGTGTTTAATTACAACTCTCATCACCCTCAGCAAATCTGATCAACGGCTGTGGGATGATGAGCGCTGCAGTCTTAACACCATTGGAAAGCAAAAGCCTATACGACAGCACAACGTGGTAGATCTTGTTGTAAGATGCTAGAGCAACGGCGAGGGGGCAGTTTGGCCTTTTGCATCTTTCCGTACAGCAGGGCCAGCTGAATCAGAGTGAAGCGGCATGGCAGGGGAAGAGCAGGGGGAGCAGGGAAACAAATCTTCAAAAGCAGGAGAGACTCTGCATAACCAACCCCCTAGGATAAGACCTATGGACCCCTTCCCCAACAGCACCAGTTTCCACCGTTCCTGCTTCCTGCCTCTACCTAAACGCCTGCAAGCAACGATTCCTCCCATCTTCTGCATCATGCCTTCTGCCCTTCCCATTCTCTTCTCCCCCCCTCCTGCCTTTACAGCCTCCTAGCAGATTTGCCACTGCTTCAGGCACGGACAAGACTTTTTGTGCACATCTTCTGAAGCTGTTAGGAACCACAACATCTTCACAGGGCATATCAGGAGTGAACAGCAATTGAATGGCACCTCAATGAGTCGAAGATGTAAAGCATCAGGTTCTTGTTATTCCTGGGCCAAGGTCTTTTGAAGAAGTTTTTAAAAAAAAGTTATGCCCTCCACCACACGCTCAACTGCAAACTGAATTAAGTCATTCAGAGGACCAATCCTTACTGAAATGTGTAGCTCCCAGCTATTTCAGAGGAGCATGGGACAATCACTCCCTGCATCCTGCATTGGTTGCTTAAGGTAGCGCTTCATCTGAGAGGACCATTTCGGGTCAAATGATGGACAAACCAGTTTTCCAGCACCAAACATTCTCTCTTTATATTTTTGTATTTACATTATTGTATCATTATTTTGCTTATATTATGAGCTGCCCAGAGTCGCTTTGTAGTTGGGTGGTGCCAAAATCAAAGTAAATAAATACATAGACATCTATAGGTAGTCCTCGTTTAGCAGCCACAATTGGGACCAGCAACTTGGTTGTTAAGTGAAGTGGTCGCTAAGTGAAATCATGACTGTGCTTATGATTTTACTTCAGCTTTCCTTCGATTTACAGACCTGTGAAGGTCATAAATGTAAGGACTGGTCGTAAAGTTATTTTCATCACCGTTGTAACTGTGAGGGGTCACTAAATGAGGCAGTCACTAAACGAGGACTCCATGTACAACACTCAGGGAAAGAGACTGGCCTGCCACAAGACTGCACAAATCCAGAATTAGCAGGGCAGAAAAGAGGGAATAGCCAGGAGAGTGACATATCACATGACATAAATGTGGCATTAGTAAAGGAACCCCATCCTCAAAGCCACTCTATGCCACTAATGTACTGGGACTTTCTGTACAGTGGAAGAGAGAGGAGACATTAGTTATTAGATGTGTTCCCTATCAAGAACCCCAACGGGCAGACACCTGGTCTCATTAGAGCTGTATCCTCCCAAGCTCATTCTGTGTTACCATCCCCTCATCAAATAGCAGTGACAAAGCAACAGTCAAAATGATATTGGTCAAAAACATTTTGGCGGGCTGCTGCACACTGCATCATGGGAGCAAGTGACTCATCTCTAACCCTCATGTAAACAAGGATGTGGTTTCTGATGTGGAGAAGTAAAGCCAGCAGTTCCAGCAAGTCACATGGGGCACGGGCTTTTCTCCGAAACTGGGGTTGCGGTTATACTAAGCTCCGGTTTTGTTGGTGACTTGTGCATCTGCACACACTGCACACATACACACTAAGAGCACACACAGAAACCATACTGCCTCCCTACTCCACCCTGCTTTCATGGGCTACAGGTTGACTATGGGTTGGAAATAGAAGGTACAGGTATCACGTGGAGTTAGGATCTCTACACCATCTTCCAGGCCATGCTTGTGTTCTTTTTAAAGAGACATCTGCAGTGCTATTCTCACAGCCAGGTGCTTAAAACACAGAGGGGGAAAGGTTATAGAAAATAAAGAGGAATGTTTAGGGTCTCATGGTTACACTAAAAAATGTGATGGCAAAAATGCTGAAGAATAAAAGCACCCTACTTTATGTTCCTTTTTCAGTTCTTTTATCTTCTGAGAATGCTTCTTATATCAAGAACTGACATAAGCACGTGTCTCGGGGAAACTGTTGAATAGACAATTGTGTAAGTAAAACACTTCTCCAAGCACTCACCAGCATAAGCTATGTTACCTGCAAGTACCAAGAATACCCTTCTAACCCAAAACACTTTTTACCAGTGAAGGCAGCCTTTCCCTAAATCCAATGCTTTCCTGATGTCCTGGACTACAATTCCCATCATTCCAGCCAGCAGTGGTATCCTAGTAAAACAAATGCATATCATGAGCACAAGGGTGAAGAAGTCCAAGACTTACAATAAAGCAGATCACAACCCCCTAGTACCATTGCCTCTCTTATCTGTACTTTCAAAACAGTTGAAATTCACAGAATTTCAAAAGTAGTGCTGCTGATTAAGTGTGTGTACAGGACTGATCATGATACTTTTGAATCCTGGTTAGTTCATATTATCACACATCTGCATTCGTTTTGAAAAGGCTGGGAAGAAGGAATTAAGGGCTAACATGACCTGTTGTTGTTGTTCAGTTGTTAAGTCGTGTCTGACTCTTCGTGACCCCATGAACCATATT